CTAGATGACAATACTTTCTTATTATCCCCTTCTAAAACTGCATCAATCTTCTAGAGAACTTTAGTAGCAAACTTTGTAAATGATGTTCACATCGTGATCTAATGGAAAAAATAATCAGAGCTGACTTTTCTCTTTGGCAAAATTTTGTCCACCACCAGAATGTGGAATATATGGAAGAGTCTAAAACAGCTTATAAATATTCAGTTTTTTTTTTTTCAAACAGGTAGCTGGGTTATGAAAACTTCTTGCATAAAGTCACCATACAATTTCCTCAGATCAAAGACTGATCTGAAATAAAAGGATATGAGACCCAATTTGTTGCTTCCTGTACAACCGTGTTCCCTTTTGCCCCTCAATTATTAGGCTCCATTCTCTTACTGAAGTCATAAGACAGCATTGCTAATTTGTCCAAGTAAAACAGCTACCAAATAAAAACAGTGACCAGGCTTGTGGCATGAATACAATTGTTTAAGCCACTCATTTCTCACTGCTGTTATCCTTAGTTCAATGGAATCACAAATTAAGAAGAGTACAGTGCTTCTCTGCATAAATAAACCCATAATTTCAAAAGGTTCCCAGATTTTGGTCAGTGCGCTGCCGTTGAACAGAAACATCTAAGTATGGCAATACTTGGGGGTAGTTTAAATCAACATCAACTTGAAAATGGGATTCCTAAAGAAAAGACAGTTTGGGGTTCTCATCTTACAACAAGCCTCCATATGAAGCAAACTTCAATCCAAATTAATCACTACAATTCTATGAGGTGTGACTACTCCTTGCCCTATATTTTCAGGTTATCATATGAGAGATTTATCTGTCCAGTCAATTGGAGACTGCTTAAATAAAAGACATTTATAATATTTACTCTCAGATGTTTGCTATTAATCATACTGTATAATATTCAAAATTAATGAGCACATGTAGGGCACAAAGGAATGGGAAGCCATTTATTCCAAAAACTTTTCTCTGCCCCCTCCTGTTTCATCCGGCAGATATTTTTTTATTGCAGATATTTACTTTTACATTATCCTGATGCAACTGGTGGAGGAAGAAGGCAAAGCTTCAGCAGCTTCAAAGCTGGATCCCCCAGCTGAATGGCTCCCATTCAGAACCAGTTTCTCCCCAAATGTCTCACATGACTTTTCATTTTTATAAATTCTTCACTCACTCATGAAAATCTCTATTTCAGTTGCCAATAAGGATTTAAATGCTTCTGGAAGAAACAGTCATCAAAAAAAAAAAAAAAAACCCACAGCTATAAATGACTGACGACAGCATGAAGAAAAAAAGTATCACGTCAATGTTTCAACACGTTAGTTGCTGAACCACTTCTTCCACTCAGTCTTTCTGCATTAAATGGGTGTGCCCCAAATTGGACACACCAGCAGATAACTACAAACTGTTTGGCATGTATGTCGGTGCTATTGTACACTGCCAAAAGATAAAATACAATTCCCGTGAAAGTATTCTATATTTTCTAAAATAGTAACTTATGTAACAGAAAAACTATAGAATCTTTACATTTGGCCCCTAAATCTACAAGCACCAAATTTGTGTTGTCTTGCTTTCTAATCTGATTTTCAGTATTTCTGATAAGCAGTCATCTCTTTTCAGAGATTAGTGCTTCTTAAGCAGGGATGAATGTTGTAAGTATTCACTGGGTTTCATCCAAGATTGACATGTCCAGACCCCACTGGGGTGACAACACCGAATCAGACAGGGTGGAACCTGGGAAGTGTATTTTCGAAAGCTTACCAGGTGATAATGAAGTGCATCCTTGGCTAGGAACAGCTTTCCCAGATCATTTTTTAAATTGATGAGCAAATAATTATAACATATATGCATGCATACATAGACCAATATAATTTTCTTTATTCTTCATGGTGTTAGCTAAATGTACTCTTTTGCCATCCCATTCTTTCCTCCTGAATTTCTGCCTTTCAGATTGTCTTGGAGTCTTCCACAGTTCGATAATTTTCCCAGATGAATTTTAGGCTAACTCAATGTATGTCACACTCTTCATTTCAGGGGGCAGGATGCCAGCTTAGATCAGCAAATCCTTCCAAAGCAATGCCATCTTACCATATAGTCATAGAACAAATATTTACTCAGCAGAGTCTATATGTTGAGGTAAAGGCTGAGAAGAATGCAAGAAAAACAAAATGCTCTCAAGAAGCACATGATATAATTAGGGTGAAAAAATATAGACAAGCTAAGAAAGATAAATAACCACATAAGGATGCATGTGATTCAGTATTAAATTACTAGCATTTATAATAAGGACCCTAAGAATTTAGAAGAAGTACAGACATGCCACATTTCCAAGAGGGCCTGGGGTTTGAAGAATGGATAAGGGATAAAGGCAGAGCAGAGGGATGTGGGTATTTCACATTAGGAACACAGCGCCAATCAAGATGGGAATGAACAAAGACTAGACAGTGTAAAGACAGACCTCTGTAAGGAAGGGGTCATTCGAGTGACTGATATTAAACAGATAAAGGTCAGACTATAGCTATCAGGCTAAGGAGCCTAATATTTATCCTACAGTTGTAGAAAAATCCGTAAGGCTTTAAAAAAGTAGACCATGGAGATAATAGTATTTTAGGGAAATGTAATTTTTTGTAAAAAACAAAATATCTATGAGTATGAGATAAATAACAAAACCTATGAGAGCAATGAGGATCAGGGCCATAGCAGCGGCTTTACAAAGAACTACTGGATCTCAGTGACCAACTGGCTTAAGTTTCCAGCCTGTAATAGAATGGAGGCATACAAACAGTAGGAGAAAAAAGAAAGTCAGAAGTGTGAGCAAATTGGAGTTTTCAGTTGGAGATAGCACAACAATGCCTCAGAAGAAACATCTCCACTGGACACATGGCATTGGCAGAAGTTGGTGAAGAACTTCTACACAGAGGATGGAAGGTAGAATGAGGGAAATAAGAGCTTGAGACTGAATCTGGA